GGTAGACAACATCCACCGCTCTCCCCTCGTCTACCCAGCCAGTCATGCCATCGTAGAAGGCTATCAGATTGGTCAGGCATGATTTCCCCTTGGTGAATCCGTGCTGGGTGATGATCTGGATGATCAGGAAAAGAGATGATCTTTTCCTCTACTTGCTTGGAGAGGACATCCAGAATGAGTTGTTCCATCACCTTTCCAGGAATGGAGGTGAGACTAACCAGCCTGTAGTTCCCTGGGCCCTCCTTCTTGTCTTTTCTGAAGACTGGAGAGACATTGGCTATCCTCCAGTCCTCAGGCACCTCTCCTGTTCTCCAGGACCTTTTGTAGATGATGGAAAGTGGCTCAGCAATGGCATCTGCCAGCTGCTTCAGCACTTGCGGGTGCATTCCATCAGGACCCATGGATTTGTGGGTGTCCAGCTTACCTAAAAGATCCCTAACCTGATATACCTCAGCCAAGGGAAGGTCATCCCTTCTCCAAGCTTGCTCGCTTACCTGGAAGGACTGGGGAGCCTGAGGGCCAGCCTTGGCAGTGAAGACTGAAGCAAAGAAGGCATTCAGTAGCTCCGCCTTCTCTGTATCTTCTGTCACCAGGGCACCCATTTTGTTCAGGAGCAGTCCCACGTTTCCCCTAGTCTTCCGTTTGCTGCTGATATACTTGAAGAAGCCCTTCTTGTTTCCTTGATATCCTTTGCCAGACTTAGTTCCAGGTGAACCTTGGCCTTTCTAGTTGCTTCCCTGCATGCTCTGGCAGCATTCCTGTATGCCTCCCTAGTGGCCTGACTCTCTTTCCACATTCCATAGAGCTTACTCTTTTCTTTGAGTTTCACTAGAAGCTCCTTGTTCATCCATGCAGGCCTCCTGCCTCGTTTACTTGATTTCCTACTCATGGGGATGCTCCGATCCTGGGCATGGAGGAAGAGCTGCTTAAATAGCATCCAGCTCTCTCAGACTCCCCTACCTTCAAGAGCCTTAGCCCATGGAATTCTTCCAAGTAGGTCCCTGAAGAGGCCAAAGTTAGCTCTCCT